TGTCTATCTGTCTGTCTGTCTGTCTGTCTGTCTATTTGTCTCTCTGTCTATTTGTCTGTCTGTCTATCTGTATGTCTGTCTGTCTCTCTGTATGTCTATTTGTCTGTCTATCTGTATGTCTGTTTGTCTGTCTATCTGTATGTCTATTTGTCTGTCTGTCTGTCTGTCTGTCTCTCTCTCTGTCTGTATGTATGTATGTATGTATGTATGTCTATTTGTCTCTCTGTCTATTTGTCTGTATGTCTGTCTGTCTGTCTGTCTATCTGTATGTCTATTTGTCTGTCTGTCTGTATGTCTATTTGTCTGTCTATCTGTATGTCTGTTTGTCTGTCTGTCTGTCTTTCTGTATGTCTGTCTGTCTGTCTATCTGTATGTCTGTCTGTCTCTCTGTATGTCTATTTGTCTGTCTATCTGTATGTCTGTTTGTCTGTCTATCTGTATGTCTATTTGTCTGTCTGTCTGTATGTCTATTTGTCTGTCTATCTGTATGTCTGTCTGTATCTGTATGTCTGTCTCTCTCTCTGTCTGTCTGTCTGTCTGTATGTCTATTTGTCTGTCTATCTGTATGTCTATTTGTCTGTCTGTCTGTCTTTCTGTATGTCTGTCTGTCTGTCTATCTGTATGTCTATTTGTCTGTCTGTCTATCTGTCTATTTGTCTGTCTGTCTCTCTGTATGTCTGTCTGTATGTCTATTTGTCTGTCTGTCTGTCTGTCTGTCTATCCATCTGTCTGTATGTCTATTTGTCTGTCTGTCTCTCTGTATGTCTGTCTGTATGTCTATTTGTCTGTCTGTCTGTCTGTCTGTCTATCCATCTGTCTGTATGTCTATTTGTCTGTCTGTCTATCTGTATGTCTGTCTGTATGTCTATCTGTCTGTCTGTCTGTCTATCTGTCTGTATATCTATCTGTCTATGTCTATTTATCTGTCTGTCTGTCTATCTGTATGTAGGCCCTATGTCTGTCTGTCAATTCAATTCAATTCAAAATTGCTTTATTGGCATGACTGTAAATGGTACAATATTGCCAAAGCTTAGTATACATGTACAAAAAGAAAAGAAAAAAATATATATAATAACAATATAATAATTAAATGAACATCACAGTAATAGAATGGAATATTATAACATCTTAGAAGTATTAAACTGTAACAAATTATAACTGTCTGTCTGTCTATCTATCTATCTTTCTGTCTGTCTGTTTGTATTGGCCCTCCCGTCGACGCTTTACACTCCAGTCCAATTGGTGGCGGTACTGCACCAAAATTCAGTTCGCCAACCGTAAAGATGAACCAGAAAACCACATTTCCCAAAATGCTTGTAGATAACAGGAAGCACTTCTTATCGCGCTGATATGATTACAATAGGAATAAGCAGAATTCAGTCTATGCAACGTTTGGACGTGCGGACAGATTGTATACGTCTCAGGTGTTTGTAGAAACGTCTGTCTGTCTACTGCGCGGCAAAAGCAAGGGGCAAAACAAAAGCATGTGGATGTAATTTCAACAAAGGTATGTGTTAAGAATGAACCCGAGCGGCGTTTTATTGTCTAGAAAGTAAGGAGAGAACAATCTGTTCACTGTAAAACGCCCTTTAAGCTGGAAAACACTAGATAATATTGTATAAGCTAACTAGCAGCAGCATCACGCAGATGTCCGCACATAAGCACATTAGTTGCAGTTGCGTTGTTTTCCATGCTCAAATTTCACGCACTGGCTCCTTTTAGTTAATATCTAGGTTATCATTATTTTTGTTATTTAGCTAGACAGCTGGGTTAAATTCCTGCCTTCGGTATGAATATAGTATACAATAATAATAATACTATATAGTAAGTTAACGTATTAAACTAGCCTAATGTCATGTTCAGCTTGTATTTTGCATTTAAAAATTAAAGAAATGGTCTTACACGTGTCTCTGGGAATTCCCCTAGATTATGGTCACTACTTGACATAATTTAAAAAAGTTGACATAAATAAAAAATAAATTGTTATTATGCAGCACCACGGTATATATTAAAGTACTGTAGTATAATATCAGAAATTAACTTTTTTCCCCCTTATAGATATAGTCTAGTAAGCAAAGATTAGCCTAAACACCTGCTCACACTATCATAAAATTAGATAAGAAATACATTCTTAGTATCTACAGAACACAAGGAGGGAGTAAACTTGGCTGAAATATGTTGATTGATGAGCTTTTACTTGGATGTCACATTCAGTAAAAACTGTTGTATATATAATAATGTGTATTTATTTATTAAGATTACACCTTATTATTATAGTTATTCATGTATTTATTTATTTTTTTTTAGATTGAATCAGATTGGGATTGAACTCAACTACTAACCATGGGGATTCGGTCGGCTCAGAAGAAGCATTTCCCTCTTCGGGGCATCGATGGAGTGGTGCAGCTTTTCGAGTCTGAGCTTAGTAACCCAGAACCAGACCTGGCCCTGCTGTCCCTCGTGCTGGGTTTTTTAGAGCACTTCCTGGCTGTCAACAGAGTTGTTCCTGTCAATGTCCCGGGCGTTCGCTTTGAACCTCTTAAACCTGACTGCCTTGACTCTTGCTTCCCTACAGTAGAGCTGAATCTCATATCTGCTCTCTACGAACGCTTCACCGCCCAGATTCTTGGTGCCGTGGACCTGTCGCAGTACCGCAAACCGGCTGGCGGTTCCAGCCGTGAGCTGGTGAAAAAGGTCTCAGATGTGATCTGGAACAGTCTTAGCCGGTCTTATTTCAAGGACAGGGCACACATTCAGTCCCTCTTCA